GGTGTCCAACCACAAGGTATCTGCGGTTGGGCGCCTGAAACAATCGGGACACCTAAGATAAGAGCCGGGAGTCTTTCCGCCTTCTCTAAACCGGCTACGTGACTTAGCCCACATCTGCTTTCCCGCCTTCCCTGCTCCAAATACGTAACCTAACTATGGCCTTGTTCAAATCCCCCAATCAGATCCCCGTAACTATGCTTCTCGCTTCTGTAAATGTGCTTCTTGCTCCCTAACCCTATAAAAACCCGTCACCCCAACCGAGGGGCGCGCAAGTCTTCCGAAAGGCTTTGTCGCCCCGGGTACCCGCGAATCGAAATAAACCTCTTGCGGCTTGCATCCGAAGGCTGGTCTCGCTGATTCTTGGGAAGTGGGGTCTCCCCGTCTAGAGAGGCTCTAGCCAGAGTCTTTCATTTGGAGGTTCCACCGAGATTTTTTTTTGAGACCCCCCCGCCCAAGGACCACCGACTCCATCGGGAGGTAAGCTGGCCAGCAGAGTGTCTTTTGTTGTCTTCATTTCGTCACGTGTTTGCCTGTTCTATCTCTCAAAATTTGTACGATTCAGCTGAGTCGCTCCGTATTAGGTGGAAAGAGAAGAGGCTGACGAGCCTAAAACTTCTCTACCGCAACTCTGGAAGACGTTCCAAGAGTGTCTGGGGCCCGATTTTTCGGAGCCCGCCTGTCTGAGAACACGTCCCAATCTGGACTTTTCGGGGCGAAGCCCTTGTCCGAGGCCTACGTGGTTCTCCTGGGGGACGAGGGATCCGGACCCTCTTCGCAGTCCCCATCTGAAGTTTTGCTTTCGGTTTGGCGCCAGAGTCGTGCCGCGCGCTGCGTTTGTGTTACTGTCTGTCTGTTGTTCGTCGGGTTTGTGTTTGGTGTTAGTCTCTTTGAAACCATGGGACAGTCTCTAACTACCCCCTTAAGCCTCACTCTACAGCACTGGAAGGATACCCGAGACATCGCTCATAACCACTCTGTAGAGATCCGGAAGAGAAAGTGGGACACCTTCTGCTCCTCAGAATGGCCGACATTTAATGTCGGCTGGCCAGGAGATGGCACCTTTAACCTAGACATTATTTTGCAGGTTAAGGCGAAAATCATGGATTCAGGGCCACACGGCCACCCGGACCAGATACCCTACATTGTTACTTGGGAAGCCCTGGCCCGGGAACCACCCTCATGGGTCAAGCCGTTTGTCACTCCCAGCCCCCCTGCCGTTCCCCCTGCAGTTCCCTCTGCCCCTGCCCTACCTCCTCCGTTGGTCCCCACACCCTCTAAGTCTGCCCTCTATCCAGCTGTAACAAAGCAGGCCCAAGGACGTAATCCGGGGGGCAAAAAGACGCCGACGACCCCGGTACTGCCAGCAGACGACGGCTCCTTGTTGGATCTGCTGACTGAAGAACCTCCCCCCTATAGGGACCCAGACCCCGACCAAGAGCCGGGAGAAGCCGCCGCGGCCGGACCTCAGGAGGAACCAGCTCCTTCCCCGGTGGCAGGGCGATTGAGAGGGCGCCGAGAGGCCCCTCCGGATTCCACATCTCAGGCTCTCCCATTACGAGCGGGGCCTAACGGCCAGCTCCAATACTGGCCTTTTTCCGCTTCGGATCTATATAACTGGAAAAATAATAATCCCCCTTTCTCTAGGGACCCTTCTAGACTCACCGCTTTAATCGAGTCCATTTTAGTAACCCACCAGCCCACCTGGGACGATTGTCAGCAGCTGTTACAGGCCCTCCTGACCACCGAGGAAAAGCAACGAGTCCTTTTGGAAGCCCGTAAGAACGTCCCGGGGGCTAACGGGCAGCCTACTCAGTTGCCAAACGAGATCAACGATGCCTTCCCCTTGGAGCGACCTGAATGGGACTTCGCCACGGAGGACGGTAGGAATCACTTACGTCTCTATCGCCAGTTGCTGATAGCGGGTCTCCATGGGGCAGCAAAGCGCCCCACTAATTTGGCTCAGGTTAAGTTAGTGACCCAAGGGTCAGAGGAGTCTCCCTCCGCCTTCCTCGAACGACTAAAGGAAGCCTATCGTGTGTACACCCCCTATGATCCGGAGGACCCTAATCAGGCTACCAATATGGCCATGTCCTTCATCTGGCAGTCTGCCCCGGATATCAGAAAAAAATTAGAGAGACTCGAAAACTTAAGGGAAAGTACGATCCAGGATTTGCTAAAGGAAGCGGAACGGATTTTCAATAAGAGAGAGACTCAAGAAGAGAGAGACGAAAGGTTAAAAAGAGAGGCAGAAGAGAGAGAAAACGTTAGAGACCGCAAGAGAAATAGGGAATTTAGTAAATTGCTGGCCACTGTAGTGACAGGGCAGAGGCAGAATAGACAGGACCTGGGAGACTGGAGGGGTCCTCGGATAGACAGAGATCAATGCGCCTACTGCAAGGGAAAAGGGCACTGGGTTCGAGACTGCCCAAAAAGACCAAAAGGGCCACGGAAGCCTAAGCCCCAGGCCACCCTGCTAAACCTGGAGGATTAGGGGAGTCGGGGTCAGGAGCCTCCCCCTGAACCCAGGATAACCCTTAATGTGGGGGGGCAACCCGTCACCTTCCTGGTGGACACCGGAGCCCAACATTCGGTGCTCACTACCACACCGGGACCCCTGACTGACAAATCGGCGTGGGTTCAAGGAGCCACCGGAGGGAAAAGATACCGTTGGACAACTGAAAGAAGAGTACAACTCGCCACCGGTAAGGTGACTCACTCTTTTTTACACGTTCCTGATTGCCCTTATCCTCTGTTGGGGAGAGATCTATTAATGAAACTCAGGGCACAAATCCACTTTGAAGGGACTAAGGCCCACATTACTGGGCCTCAGGGACAGCCTTTACATGTGTTACCGGCTTCACGAATCTGAAAGGCCTCGGCCGCAAGAAATAACTGTTTGGTTAGAAAAATTCCCTTTAACCTGGGCGGAAACAGGGGGAGTGGGTCTCGCAACCCACCAACCGCCCCTGGTAATCACTCTAAAGGCATCGGCAACTCCTGTTTCCATTAAACAATACCCGATGTCGCATGAAGCTTACCAAGGAATTAGGCCCCACATTCGGAGGCTTTTAAATCAGGGCATCCTGGTGCCTTGTCAATCCCCCTGGAATACGCCTCTCCTTCCGGTCAAAAAGCCAGGGACAGGAGACTACCGCCCAGTACAGGACTTGAGAGAAGTCAATAAAAGGGTGGAGGATATACACCCTACAGTACCTAACCCGTACAATCTGTTGACTGGGCTTCCTCCGACGTACACCTGGTATACGGTATTAGACCTTAAGGATGCATTCTTCTGCTTGAGGCTCCACCCTCAGAGTCAGCCTATCTTTGCCTTCGAGTGGAAGGACCCAGAACTGGGAGTATCGGGTCAGCTCACTTGGACTAGACTCCCACAGGGGTTCAAAAACAGCCCCACCCTATTTGACGAGGCGTTGCACCGGGACCTGGCCGATTTTAGAGTTCACTACCCTGCTTTAATCTTGCTCCAATATGTTGATGACCTCCTCCTGGCTGCGGAAACTGAGGAAAAATGTCTGGAGGGAACAAAGGCCCTCTTGAGGACTTTAGGAACTCTAGGATACCGGGCCTCAGCCAAAAAGGCCCAATTATGCCAGAGGCGGGTTACATACCTGGGTTACCAAATCAGAGATGGACAAAGATGGTTGACAGAGGCGCGGAAACAGACAATCCTAAAAATTCCAGTGCCCAAAAGCCCGAAACAACTAAGAGAGTTCCTGGGTACGGCGGGGTTCTGTCGCCTCTGGATTCCAGGGTTCGCAGAAATGGCTGCGCCACTTTACCCACTCACCAAGCAAGGGACTCTCTTTACGTGGGGAGATGAGCAGCAGAGAGCCTATGCAGCCATAAAAGAGGCCCTGCTAACCTCCCCCGCGTTGGGACTTCCGGACTTAAACAAGCCCTTTGAGCTGTTTGTAGACGAAAAACAGGGATATGCTAAAGGAGTCCTGGCTCAAAAACTGGGACCATGGAGGCGTCCGATAGCCTACCTGTCCAAGAAACTTGACCCGGTAGCCTCGGGATGGCCACCCTGCCTGAGGATGGTGGCAGCAATTGCCCTCTTGATTAAAGACTCTGGCAAGCTGACTATGGGACAGCCAATAACAATTTTGGCTCCTCATGCAGTGGAAGCCCTGGTCAAACAACCTCCGGGCCGATGGCTTTCCAATGCCCGCATGACCCACTACCAGGCCCTACTACTGGACACTGATCGAGTATACTTTGGCCCTATAGTAGCTCTCAACCCAGCATCACTGCTTCCCCTACCGGAGGGTCCAGAAACTCATGACTGCCTCCAGATACTTGCAGAAGTACATGGTACCCGACCCGACCTGACCGACCAGCCCCTCCCCGACGCCGACTTCACCTGGTACACCGACGGGAGCAGCTTTCTGGACAACGGAGAGCGGAGAGCGGGGGCCGCAGTCACCACCGAGACTGAGGTAATTTGGGCTGAGGCCCTACCATCTGGCACTTCGGCACAGCGGGCTGAGCTCGTCGCCCTAACTCAGGCCCTCCGGATGGCAGAAGGTAAGAAGCTCAATGTTTATACCGATAGCCGCTATGCCTTTGCCACTGCTCACATCCATGGGGAAATATATCGGAGAAGAGGGTTGCTTACCTCGGAAGGAAAGCAGATCAAAAATAAAGCTGAAATATTGGCCCTGCTTAAGGCTCTGTTTTTACCCTCAAAACTGAGTATCATCCATTGCCCCGGCCACCAAAAGGGAGACAGCCGAGAAGCCAGGGGCAACCGCTTGGCGGACGCAACTGCCCGAGAAGCGGCGAGACAAGAAAGCTCAGATACCTCCCAGCTCCTGGCTATAGAGCCGGCCGAGGCAGAGGTCCCCTCCATTCAGGAACCTCCCTTCCACTATAGTGAGGAAGATCGGGACCTCCTAAAAGAAATGGGGGCCACTTACAATCCCATGCTAAGACTCTGGACTTTCAAAGAAAAACCTGTGTGGCCCCTGCAACAGACTCGTAACCTGATTAAATACCTCCACAGACTGACTCACCTTAGCTCCGGAAAAATAAAAACCCTCCTAGAAAGGGAGGAAAGCTCCCACTATTTGCTGGGGAGAGATAAAATTCTACAACAAGTGGCTAAAGAGTGCACAGCATGCGCCCAAGTGAATGCAGGACGCCATAGGATAGGCCCAGGGACCAGGATCCGGGGACATCGCCCCGGCACCCACTGGGAGATTGACTTCACAGAGGTAAAACCTGGACTATATGGATATCGGTTCTTGCTGGTATTTGTGGACACCTTCTCGGGATGGGTAGAAGCCTACCCCACCAAACATGAAACTGCCAAAGTAGTCGCCAAAAAGCTTCTGGAAGAAATCTTCCCCAGGTATGGCATGCCCCAGGCGTTGGGCTCTGACAATGGTCCTGCCTTCGTCTCCCAGGTAAGTCAGTTAGTGGCCAAACTTTTGGGGATCAATTGGAAATTACATTGTGCATACCGTCCCCAGAGCTCAGGGCAGGTAGAACGAATGAATAGAACTATCAAGGAGACCTTATCTAAATTAACGCTGGCAACTGGCTCTAGAGACTGGGTGGTCCTCCTTCCATTGGCCCTATATCGGGCCCGAAACACCCCGGGCCCCCATGGACTCACTCCTTTCGAGATCCTGTATGGAGCCCCACCACCGATCGTTAACTTCTTTGATCCCTGTATAGCTTCATTTGCTGATAGCCTCTCTCTAAAAGCCCATTTGCAGGCACTACAGATTGTCCAGAAAGAAGTCTGGGAACCCATCGCCGCTGCATACCAAGAACAACTGAACCGACCGGTGGTGCCACATCCGTTCCAGATTGGAGACACAGTTTGGGTCCGTCGACATCAAACTAGAAACTTGGAACCCCGCTGGAAAGGGCCCTATACTGTGTTGCTAACAACCCCGACGGCGCTCAAGGTCGACGGTATCACAGCGTGGGTACACGCCTCCCATGTCAAGGCGGCCCATCACGACGCAGAGCAAGATCAGACTCCAGCCTCCTCATGGAAACTCCGTCGCACCCAAAATCCACTAAAGATAAGACTCACCCGGGTTTGATATTCTTTCTCTTCCTGTTCACTCTGTCACACTCCAGTCCCCACATCCCTGTAAATTCGACTTGGGTCCTGCTAGATGGATTTGGTGTCCTTCTTAACAAAACTTCCAAAATAGCTCCCCCGTACACTTGGTTCCCTGAACTAAGTTTTGATCTAGCTCAGGCCATGCCACCCGGGTCCTACGCCAGGCGCATCGTAGACGACAAAAAAACACATTTCTACATGTGCCCTTCCCCGGGGAGTAGCCCCTGGCGACTGCAGAATTGTGGAACTAGGAACGACTTATATTGCGCCGCGTGGGGATGTGAGGACTTCGCCACCAGCTGGCTACCAACCTCAGTCGGACTCCTTCAGCTCACCAGGGACCCCAAGTATGATAGATGTGGGTATGCACTCAATGTTGATGACCCCCGTCCTGTACCCAAACCCTGTAATCAGCTCATCCTTACCTTTACCGATAAGGGCAAAAAGTATAAAGAGGGATGGTTGCGTGGGAAAGAATTCGGGTTGCGCCTCTGGAAAACAGGCCGCGTAGGAGGAATAATGCGCCTCCAGCTGACTCTTGATAAACCCAAGGTGCCTGTCGGGCCTAACTCGGTGTTACCAAACTTAAGAGTCCCCTCCTCCCAACCTAAAAAATTACCCATTCCGCCTACAACCATGCCCCCTAACAAAACTCCAGGCCCAGTCAGTCTAGGCATTCCCACACCACGATTTCTCCGATCGAGTACAGGTGATAGACTGTTTGGTCTAATACAGGGAGCCTTCCAGACGCTTAATTATACTGATCCTAGCAAAACCCGAGAATGCTGGCTATGCCTGGTCCCAACTCCCCCTTACTACGAAGGGGTTGCAATAACGGGGAACTTTGTAAATTACACCACACCCCCAACATATTGTACTTCGACCACCCAACATAGGCTAACTCTATCTGAAGTGTCTGGCCGGGGAACCTGCATCGGGTCAGTCCCCAAAACCCACCAAAAAATTTGCAACTCAACCTCCAGGATCCACCCGGGCTCCTATTACCTAACGGGCCCCAATGGGACCTATTGGGCTTGCAGCTCCGGCTTAGCACCCTGCGTATCTGCACTAATTCTCAACCAGAACTCTGACTTTTGTGTCCTCATTGAGCTCTGGCCTAAAGTTGTCTACCATGAACCTAAATACGTCTACGAACATTTTGAGGGGATCACCCGGTATTCTAGGGAGCCAGTATCTTTGACTTTGGCCTTAATACTAGGGGGACTCACAGTCGGGGGTATCACAGCAGGAATAGGGACTGGTTCTGCTGCCCTGGTAGAAACTACTCAGTTCCAACAACTACAACAGGCCATGCATACCGACTTGCAAGCGTTAGAAGAATCAGTCAGTGCTCTGGAAAAATCCTTGACCTCCCTTTCAGAAGTAGTCTTACAGAATAGAAGGGGGCTAGATATCCTCTTCTTACAAGAAGGAGGACTATGTGCAACTTTAAAGGAAGAATGCTGCTTTTATGCTGACCATACTGGATTGGTAAGGGATAACATGGCTAAACTCAGAGAAAGACTCAGACAGAGACAGCAATTCTTTGAGTCAGGACAAAGCTGGTACGAGAGATGGTTTAGCCGGTCCCCCTGGATTACCACCCTGATCTCCTCCATTATGGGTCCCTTAATCATAATTCTCCTGATTCTACTAATTGGGCCTTGTATCCTAAATCGGCTAGTTCAGTTTATAAAGGACCGGCTCTCCGTCATACAGACGTTAGTGCTAACCCAGCAGTACCATCAACTCAAGCAGTTAGAGACAGAGATTGACTCACTAGACCCATAGAATGAAGGATTCCATCCTAGGCTAGAAGAGAAATGGGGGAATGAAAAAATAAAAAGCCCTAGCATAATGCTGGCAACACTATTTTACAAGCAATACAGGGCCAGAGGCAGGGCAGGACAGGTGTCCAACCACAAGGTATCTGCGGTTGGGCGCCTGAAACAATCGG